AATTGGCCCACTGTGGTCATGATCGGGTAGTAGGTTGGAGTTTCGAGAAGTTGGTGATGTCACGTGGACGAGGTGGGTGGTTACCGAAGGAGGTGAAGGGTGGAGCCTTGGGGGTTTTGGGCTGGAAATGGGGTTTTGGATTTTGGGATTCTGGGATTTTGGCTGGAAATGGTTTTTTGTTGGTGCTAGGGTGAGTTGACTGGTGGTTGTGGGTGTGGTTTCTAGTGTATCAATAGGGGAAGCTATGCAAAGTGGCGAATAACTAAATAAGAATTATTTCGATCACTTGAAGTTTTCAAATTCATTAAAGAATCAAAAATGCCTGCTTTGCAATGCTTGAAAGATTCTGGTGTTATGAGGAACAGCATGAGTGCATTTCGCAGCCATTACACTGTACCACCTAGACGTCTGTCTGAAGGCTTGAATTCCACAAATCAGTCCATATATAAATCAAGACTTGTCAATATCTGGATTCTGCTCACCTCCTCATCCCGTCAATGCTGCGCTTATCTAACGGTTGTGAACCTTGCCGTTCCGTATTGTGTAAGAAAGGTACATATGCACCAAAAAGCCTATAGTTAGTCTATCGGGTCTACAAAATTGCCGTATTACCAATGCCAATTACCAAGTGCCAAGTGCCAATTTATTCAAAATTAAATTCGTGAACACTCAAAGTTGCAAACACCTAAATTTGTTAACACTTAAATTCACATAGATTCATACAAACGCCTATAGTTGAGTCCATCTGGTCTACAACCTTCCCCTATCAAAAATACCCACTACCAATTAATAACTTAAATTCACATAAAATCATATAAACTCATCTACCTGACCTAGTTCACATAAACCGTGGGGTCCAGCCCAAACCAGGTGAACACCTGGTGAGACTCCGGCTTGTCCAAAGCCTTGACGATATCCTCGTCCAACAGAATGCTCCCACTTTCAGGCAAAACCTCCAAATTCTGCTTGATCCGCTCCACCTTGGCCGTTTTGGCCAACACAATGAAGCCCTGGAGGAAAGACCACTTCAACAAGATCTCCACCTTGTTGATCTTGTGCTTTTCTGCCAACTGAAGAAGCTCCAGGTCGTCCAAATTCTCGCCCTGCGTGAGTGGAGAGTACGCCTCGGCGGCAATATCGTGCTTCACCAAAAAGTCTCTGATCTTGTGGTGAGGCAACCATGGGTGCAACTCCAACTGGTTCACCACAGGCTTGACCTTGAAGCCGTCCCAGGCGAAAAGCTCCTCGAGGTGCTTGACGCCAAAGTTGGAAACACCAATGGACCTGATTTCAAGCGACCCGTTCTTGGGGTCCTGCTGGAGCTCCTGAAGCGCCTTCCATGTGCCCAAACGCTTCTCCTTGTTGGACTTGGGCAGGTGCACCAATACCAAATCCACATAGCCAATGTGCTCCTTGACCTGGGCGGCGATCTTGTCCACAGCGGCTTTCGTCTCGTTGTAGCCGTGGTCACTGTTCCAGATCTTGGTGGTGAACCAGATATCCTCTCTTTTCACCTTGCCCTCGTTGTCCTTCAAAAACTTCGCCACCCCTTGGGCGGACTCCCTCTCGTTTCCATACAACACAGCAGTGTCGATGTGGCGGTAGCCCTGCTTCAATGCCTCGTAGACCAAGTCCACTGTTTCCTTCTGGGTGAGTGTGTAGACGCCATAGCCCGCAACGGGGATTTCCTGGCCGTTGTTGAGTTTCCGCTTTGTGTGGCGGTCCACTTTGAGAGTAGAAGGTGCCATTAGGGGTGAGAGTTGCTCCCGGGGCTCTTATATAGTCGATTCCACGTGATGGCCGTCTTTGTTCGCAGCCAGGGTTATCTGAGTAGCTGTTTTGCAGCCGGTGCAGGGCTCGCAACGTGTGGCTCAAGCCCTTTGCCATTTGTGAAGGCAATTTGGGATGTGTAGTTTTGGATGGAGTGGGTGGATTGGGTGGATTGGGTGGTGACGTCGAGGTTTGCTGGTCATGACGTTTGGGTGTTGTTGATTTGAGAGTATGGGGTATGGGACATGGGTACTGGTGTGGTGAGGTAGAGACAGACAGGGTAGATGGAGTTGATGGAGGTTGGGGAATTGATGGAAAGTTCGGTGGCATTAGTAAGCAAGTGAAGGAACCATGGAGGATCGTTCAATGAAGTTGAATGGAATTGCGCTTTGGATCTTGAAGGTGTCTATGGAGCTGTGGCTCAATGGGATGTCGCACTGAGAGTAGGGTCCAGGTTTCCAGGCTAGAGGACCCTGGAAGTGGTGATTTTGGGTGTACGGTAGCTTTGGACGGTGGAGGGGAGGGTAGAAGAAGATTGGCGTTTATGAAGAAGTTTCTGATTTTTGGGGGGCAAGTTCTTGTTTTCAATATTCATGGGTATCTCATTTTCGGTAAGCATTGCATATTTCGCAGCCAACTTGAGGACTAGACCTAGATAAGGTGAGGACTGTAAAAATCGACCACTAATAAAAAAGTGCAATATGATGCCCATTTAGCTTTCAATTCGCTTCAAGCTACATCAAAGATGGAAAAATCTGCCTTCTGGAACGTCACTTTCCAGAAGTACCTTCTCAACGTCTACTGCCTACTGCACCACGGGAACAATGCCAGATCATGACAGCCAAGGCTCCAGGTAGTCTACCTTAACTTCTGAAGCGATCCACTCATATTCTGCTCTCTTTCTTTTTAAAGATTATTAGCATTTGCCAAGCGTTCCGATTCCCACGCCTTATCGGAAAAAACCACCCAACAATCAAAAGCCTATCTTTCGAGGAGGCACCTCGCTAATACCTTAAACACCCAAATCGCTCCATTCAATGAAAAAAGGTGTGTATCCGATCGGCGCCTTTGCCTCTGGTTTGCAGCCATTCAGGCCGCCCATACTGCAATGCGCATACAGAGACCAAGGAATACACCTCCTCATTGTCGCCATCAATTGGGTATTTAGACAAAATGAAGAAGAAATTAATTTAAGCATTTATCGGGAAGAAACACCTTTTGCCTTCAGTTCAAAAGATACCCTCAACGGCAAATACCTATATCGCTTTACGACGTTGCATTGCCGTTTCCACCAATCCCGGAGGCCAACATTATCCACACATGATACCAAAAAGCCTAAAATAGCCGCCGTCAAACCTCCACACACCACCTGGCTGTTCCATCTCCACGCTTCTCTTAACTACATCCAATGAAAGACCCTACCCCACCGGACCTAAACCGTCTAGATCTACTAAACCTTCCACTTACCACTTACCACTTACCGAGAGGCACCAAAAGTAGCACAATCAATTCTCCCCAATTTCTATTTTTTTTTTTCTTTTGATTAACCCCTTCAATTTCGTCCCTTTGTCCCAATCACACTCTCCTAGGTCATCCTCGGTTGGGACCCTTTCTCGCTTAACACCGGAACTGTAGACCAGGGCAGCTACTCATGGCTCCAGAACCGGGGGGCACCCAATGGCTTTAATTATGGGGTGTACGGGTTTTTCAAATTGCGGACATCGGTGATGGCCCATGTCTGGGTCGCGTCTACATGCAGTACGGCGTTTTTTGGTCCCAAAGGCCCAGGGTCCAGCCGTATCTTCCATGGCGTTCTCCGATATCTGCTTAACGTTCGCTTAAGTAAAACAGCCCACAACGTATGTCCAAGAGTCAGCCGCGCGTGCAGGGTGGTATGCACCGATATGGCCGAGGCGCGTTATGCGCGGACTTATCGGCACCACTATATAAGCAGCCAAGCGCCCACGCTACAGATTGTAATTCAACTTTTTAAACACCTCCCACCATGAGCAAGTTGACTGAGGAAGAAACCATCCCACACAAGACCGACGTTGGCGCCCTTGCCAACAGAATCAACCTGGAGACCAGAGCCCTTCACAACAAAATCGACAAGCTTGTCACCTTGAAGTTCGCTTTGGCCCTTAGAGACTACAAGATCTACAGACAGGGTTTGCAGAGTTTCTACCACGTTTTCGCCACCGTCGAGAGACAGCTCCACGCTCAGTTGGAGAAGGGCGACGAGTGGAGCGAGATGTTGCAGAAGGTGTGGAAGCCTGTCATTGCCAGAAGCGCTCCAGCCCAACAGGACTTGTTGTTCTACTACAACGACCACAAGGAGAAGTTCATGAGCCCCATCATGCCTGCCCAGATCGAGTTTGTCGAGCACATCCGCGAGGTGACGCTGGAGAAGCCATGGCTCTTGTTTGCATACTTGCACGTTATGTATTTGGCTCTTTTCGCCGGAGGCAGAGTGATGAGACTGTCGATCCTGAGAGCCACGGGGCTCTTCCCACAGAAGGACGGCTTGAAGCACGACGACATTGTCAAGCTCGGCACGAACTTCTTCCAGTTTGACGTTGCCGACGAGAACGCCTTCAGACTTCTCTACAAGAGAGACTACGAGTTGGCCACCCGTAACGACTTGACCGAGGAACAGAAGCTCGACATCATCGAGGAGTCCAAGTACATTTTCCAGCAGAACGCCAAGTGTGTCATTGAGTTGGAGCACCACAACTTGACCCGGATCAAGAAGAAGTGGTCCTACTTCTTCGCCACCAGAGGCTACTACGTGGTGCTTGCGCTTTTCGCCATCGCCGCCTTGTTGATTCTTTCCAAGCTCGCTCACTCGCTTTACTAGCTTATTCATTAATCGGCCCTGCGCCGCTGTACATTAGATCTCATGGGATATCAATACATGACCGCTGCATGGAGCAGCCGCATTGGTTAACAAATAGGAACGTGTAGATTTCTGAGATGAGCGTGATGGTGCGGCTATCTAGAAAATCAGTCGGCATTTGGACATCGGTATGTCCGAGCCCAGCATGAGGCTCAGATCTTGTAACGTTGCAGTGGATTATTTTAAAGAGGGAGGGTCGATGAGCATCCATATCAGTTTGATCAGATTGCTGAAAGAAATGAATCAATCGTTGAAAAAATATACTTTTTCATGTACATCTATTCCTTCCAGTTGGTGGTATTTTCCCCACACTATTATACACTTGAGATGAGCCTCAGTTATTCTTTCTCTTTTTGGGAGCTGGCTCATCCTCGTCCTCCTCATCCTCATACTCGTCAGGGGACTCCTCTTCACTCTCCAGAGCAGAAGCTTCCTCTTCATCATCGTCATTTTCTTCAGAATCCTCAGAATCCTCCTCTCCTTCAACTTCACTTTCATCGGCATAAAACTCACTAATTTCGTTGGTGGCGCCGTCCTTGTGGTCCTTCTTCCAGGCCTCGATCCAGGCTTCGATTCTGGCCTGGTTATCCTTGATCTCCTCCTCGTTATTGGACTTCAACTCAATGACAATCTCCTTGTTGTAGGCCAGATTGGCGTCGTTCAAAATAACTTCCATGATTTCACAGTCGATGTTCTCGTCAATTTTCTTGTCACTGTACTCTCTGGCCTTCAAACGGTCATACAACAAGGAGTTGTCGGTTCGAAGAACAACCACAAGATCAATCAACCTTTTGGGGAAAATGTCGCAACAGTGCCAGTCCACAATGGCTCCTCCTTCTCTGAGATCGTTTTCCAAGCTGTCTAGAAGTTTGTCTTCATCCACAACCCCGGTATCTCTCTCCTTATCGTAACTTTCAATACAATCTCTCTCCTTTGCAAGCTCACTGATGTTGTAGTGCTTGTAGTCGCTTCCGGAGAGACCTTCGGCGAGACTCTTGGAAAGACTCGTCTTTCCGCAGCCGGGGGTTCCCGTAATGATGATATTAGGGTGGAATCTGGAGGGTTTGGGTGTCATTGATGGTGATGGAGGTTGATTAGAGATTTTATGGCGATGCCGCGCACGTGACACAGGTCACGTGCACAGACGATGCCATCTACACATGGATTGGACCCGATTCCAAACCCATTTCTTCTAGAGCTCGTTTATGTTCCGTTTATTAAGTCGTGAGTATGCTAATTGTGGTCGCATGGGGCTCAATTGGTGGGCGCAGCCCGATAGATGCTAGACTGAGCCTCCAGCACAGTTAGGGGAAGGGTCGTATTAGGGGGAATGAAGTAAAATGTGAGCAGCGAGCAGCGCTTCGAAAAGCGAATCGTGAAGTCGTAGCGGGAATAGGGGATAGGGGAGCCTGGGGCGGTGGATAGGGGAAGATTGGCTGATGGTGTATCCGCGGTAGGAAGCCTCATCAAGACCAGGCGCAGTAGCCGAGGCATCATCACCACGAGGCGTAGCGTGTTGATTCGAGTCGAGGACTTGGGATTGAGGCTTAACTGTCATGAAGTGGGGAGCAGGGTCTCTGTAGTTTGATGACGGTTCGGCAATGGTGTCTGGTATAAGGGCACCGACAGATCAACGTGGAACTGGAAGGCCAATCAAACAATCGATTGAATACCTTCCTCCCGCAGCACATCGGCACCAGCCATGCCAGCGGTCATCTCTATCATAACCGATTTGCGTGAACACGGCGTTGCCAAGAATCCTCATCCACCCTATGACGTCTACCTGGATTTCCGCTTTCCAGCCATCAGCGGGAGCAAAGCGTAAAAAACGTATTAAATTAACACCAGGCCACCCGGATCAGTGCTCCTCTCGCAAATGCGCCTGGTACGGCGGTGGAGGAGGCTCGTACTTGGGAGGAGGTGTATGGACAGTGTGGAGCTCCGTATTCTGAGTCGTCTGGACGGGCCGGGGGTTGTAGGTGGCCACGGGCTGTGGCGGGCGGGGTTCTCGAGAAAAAGGCCGTGCCTTCTTTCGTGACAAGAACTTACGGAGTGTTTTCTGGCTCACAAAGGCAAAGGCAACGATTCCCAAGATGATACAGAGCAGCACGACGATGCCGACGACGGACTCGGCAGTCGCTCGTTTGGCGAGGCGCTCTGGCGGGATGAACATGGGAATTTGGAGGATATGTGATTTTTCTGAAGAAAAAGAAGTTGTTGGTGGTTAAAGAAATGTGGTAGCCTGGGGTAGGAGTACATATGGGGCGTATTGCTTGGACCTTGGCGTCACGTGACCGACATGATTGGCATCTTGAGATACCACCGAAGACTTGTATGCAGGGTCCAGGTATGAAAGAAAGTAGTTCATAGTGTGAGCGTAGTTAAATTATAGTGTTAAAGTATATTAAGAAGAAACGTAGTTCTCTCCGATACTGCCTGTAAAGGGCAAGGAGTGAGTCTTATATAATAAGCCAATTAAAGAGGAACCACGTGGGTTCACTAACGGGAATGATATGACATTGTAGCATATAATGGGACAGCGAGGACCTTGTCTACAGGACATTCAACACCCTCTCTTCATCGCTGTGCCGTTTATGTGCTAGTTCAACTTGAGAATGAAAACCATCTGTAGTGAGAGGTTTAGTGAACAAGTCTGCACGATTGAGCGCGGATGCGACATGCTTGATGATAAAATTCTCATACTTCACTCCTTCTCTGATCGCAGCTAAGTCGACGCGCAAATGTTTTGTTCTAGCAGAAACATAATAATCTGTTCTGGCGAGAGCCTTAATCAAGGACTCATTGTCTGAATAGATGGTCGTCTCGTGTTGTTGATTCCAATCTCCTGAGTTGACAAGAAGATCTTTCATCCAAATAGCTTCTTTATTTGTGTCACTCAAGGCAATAGCTTCAGCTTCATGAGTTGATTGCGAGACACTCTTTTGACCTCGAGCACGCCAGTAGATCGGCGAGTCATTGATGCGCGCGATGAATCCAGAAATGGATTTGCTGTCACTAGGGCAACCTCCCCAGTCTGCGTCAGTAAAGAATTCTAAATTGATATCATTGGTCTCAGTTTGTTTGTGATAAGTTAGGCAAAAATCTTCGGTACTTTTCAAGTATTGCACAACCCGAACACAGGCGGCATATTGTCGTTTGGTTGGTTTAGCCATGTACCGAGATAAGACAGCTACTGCAAAGGCAATGTCATAACGGACTGTAGTGCTAGCAAATAGCAATTTTCCGACCAACAGTCTGTACTCTCCAGGATCTTCAATTAGTTCGTCATCTGGCGTAGGAAGTAGGTGGTCCTTCCACGCTGTGGAGCAGGGCGTTTTGACTTTCTCATTTGGCTTGATGTCGTTGAACGATTCTGAGATGTAGTCTTTGAGTGAGACATTGATTTTGTCTTTGAGGATATCGATGGACATACCAAGAAACCGTTTCACATTAGTTTGAAATGTAATTTCCACTTCTTTGCTTAGCATATCCTTGGTTTTAACAACCTCGCTTTCACTCGTGCCCATGATAAGCATATCATCCACGTATAACACAATAATAATATAGATATCTTGCTGTCTTTTATGATAGAAACATGGTTCTTTATCATTTGCCTCGAATCCTAACTTCTGTCTTAATATCTGGTCAATTCTTTCATTCCATAATTTGGGCGCTTGTTTTAGACCATATACTGAGCCATTAATCTTTAACACTTTGTCTTTATTCTCTGAGGTCCTCATCCCCTCAGGAATCTGAAGATATAATTCTTTATCAATTTGTCCGTTTAGGAAAGCAGTTTTAACATCAACTTGTAAGATACTCATATTGTAGGCTGCTGCTATGGCAAAACCTATTTTCACTGAGTGAAAGTTTGCAACTGGGGCGTAAGTATCTGAATAATCTCGTCCGAATAGTTGATTGAATCCTCGTACTACAAGTCTGGCCTTCGCTAGACCAGTTGACTTGTTGAGAAAGAGCCATCTGGAGTCCATGACTTCCATTCCCTTGGGTAAATTGCAAATTTCGAACGTGTTGTGTTCTTCAAATGAGTTTAATTCACGTTCAATGGCCTCTTTCCATCCTTCTTCAGTAGGACGGTTAACTGCCTCACGAAATGTTTCAGGAGCTGGTTTACGCACAGGTTGAAGAATTCCATCTTTATACCTCAACTCTACCGTATCTTCTTGTTCTTCTGGTAAAAGATGTCGGAAATCGTAGTTTTCTGATTCTTCAATTCCCTCGCTAATGACATGCACTGTAAGTACGTATACGGAGGAAGGAGCAATGCAAAGCACAGGTATATCGATAGCGTCGTCACAGGTTGACTGATCGAGAGATCTCGCCGAACTGTAACAAGGTTGCACATCGTAGGTTGACCGATCGAGAGATCTTGCCGAATTACCATATGCTTGCGTTGATACTTCTGTACTCTGTATTTCTCCCCCCTTACTTTCAGGCAGGGGATTAGCTAAGAGTATCCTGTAAAATCCCGGATCTTTCACTGCTTGAGATCGGGTTATTCTGCGTGGAGCGGTCGCCTTGTCGTGATTGTCGTTCATTGTGCTGGGTGCTACCTCAGCTGGCGATGGCAGGGAAGTCTGTAGTTGCAATCTGTCGCTTCTACCTGCTGCAGAAAGAGACAGTTGCGAGCTGTCCCTCTCTGGTCCTGATACCGCTTGTAGAGTTGGTTTCTTAAGAGGAGGCTGTCCCTCGTCTTCTTCTGTAACACCGTGAGGAATAGGTGCCAGGTATCTTGCGCCTTGTAATTCTTTGATTTGGTCGGAGACTGTTGTTGACGATTTCCGTAATACTGTGTTCAGTCTGTCAAATAAACTAGCAGGTACACTCAGTTGTGACTGCTCGTGATACTCATTCTCGATTGTTTTTCGAAGTGCTTTGTTTCTTTCCGCAGCTTCTTTTGCTCTTTGCTCTTGAATTAATTCAGCCTCTTTCAATTTTAAATATGGTTGCAAATGTGGATCATCGACTTTAGTTAGCTCTGGAGGCTCTTTGGTTTTCTTTGTACCTGATTGATATCTGGATGGGTACTCGTACGGACGATTCTGAATATGAATAAGTGTTCGAGCTGGATCGCAGTGACGCTCGATGAGCTGATTAACAAATGGTTTGGTCGATGTCTGGAATGAGGTATCATGGGACTCCACTATAGGGCCAAATTGTAACCCTTCTGATGTTGGAATGAGAGGTAAGCACCGCAGTGCCCCCCTTGTTGTCAGTGGTCCCAAATAAACACACGATTGTGCTTTCTCGTCGAATTTCGAGCTTCTGGCAGGAGATTTAGCCAACATATATTCTCCCAAACATCCGAATTGAGGTAAATCTATCACTGGCTGGTAATGATGACCGGTTGCAAACAGATTTGGTGCCTTCCATTTAAGGTTGGGTCTTGGTAAATTGTTCAAATAAAGTGTTGCAACTCGTATAGCGTCTGGCCAAAATTCTAACTGTAGTCCGCTGTCATCAAATAGAATACCTGTTCGTTCCACTAATGTTCGAATTGCACGCTCAGCGCGGCCGTTTTGATGAGAACTGTAAGGTACAGTTGTGTGGATAGGGATGTTATCTCTGACGATAATGTCAGTTTCACCAGTCTCGTCTCTCAAGCTTTGGAATTCATTTCCATTATCTGCTCGTATTTCAAGTACTTTGTGCGCTGGAAAGTCGATTTGCATCCTCTGCATGATTTGGAGGAGTCCTTTGCGAGCATAACGTTTATGGATAATGACTTCAACATAGATCATTCCTGAATATCTGTCGACGGCAACAACGAAGTACTCTTCACCATTGTGACCTTTCGGCTCAATTGGTCCAGCCAAGTCCACATGAATAACTTGAAGTGGTTGTGTCACATTTGCTCTGCCGATACCTTTACCTTTCCTAGGTGCTTGAGATTTGGTCATTGTTCGAATGCGGCAGGAGCGACAATATTTTCTGATATCCAGGGCTATGGTTGGTAACGGATCTTTTGGTGGTGGATCAGAATTATTGTGAAGGTCTCTGATTTTGTTGTACTGTTGATAAGAAGGATGCCCCAACATGAGGTGAATTGCTAAGTCTTTCGCATTGTAATCCAGCTTTGATAGCCAGTCATAACCTCTAAGGTTCACTTGATATGTTCTGAAGGCCTGCCTCATGTCGGATTCTGAGATCATAATCAAATGTCTCAAATCAGTTTGGTCCTGGGATTGAATTTTGCACTTGAGTGCGACATAGATGTGATGCGGTTTATCTGGAATTCGAGATGATAGGACTCTCAGCTTTCGGTCAAATAGCATCTGGATATCTTGGTCATAGATCCAAGGTAACGAACGTTGTCCTGATATGATGTTGGTAGAGTTCGGGAGGTAATATACCTCATCAAGTGTAGTACTCTTACCATAAATAGTCCTAACGTCCATCTTTCCAAATCCAGGGGAGATCTCAGTTCCTCCCCCTAAACCAGATACTGTCGTTGATCGTTTCTCAAAGTCATAGAGCAACGTCAAGTCTGAGATGATATGTATAGGACTTCCAGAATCCCACACAAATTCAATAATCTTTTCTTCGTTCGTCAAATGATAGTTTGCCCTATCATTATCATCATCATCTATGTCAATTGCATCCTATTCAGTACTTTTATTTTCCGTTGAAGAGCTAGAGGAATCCTGATTGTTTTGATTTCCGTCTTGTCTTCCACCGCGGTATCCACCTCTGAAGTTTCCTCTGAAACTTCCTCTGTTTCCGCGATAGTTACCTCTACCTCTGCCTCGATAGTTGCCTCTACCTCTGAAGCGTTTTCCAGGAAAACGTCCACCTCTCCTTGAGTGTTGACCTGTAGAGGTATCAACTTTGAGGACTTCTCTCTGATCAATTGAGGTCACCAAGGAGCCAGCAGTTGGGAGTTCATACTCCTTTTCACGGTAATGGAAGCAATTATTGAATACGTCGAGTACTTCATCTTTTCTGAGTTTCAATTGGCCATTAATCACTTCCTGTTTCTTATTTGCACCTAAGTTGCCTTCTCTAAGCAAAAGTATTGTGATGTCATTGTCGAAGGTATGAGAGGCAATAAACAGTGAGATATCCGCCACACTGTGGTACAGTTTTGGGTCTTTGCACTTTTCATATTGACTGCTCCATCTGGTGATGGCTTCACGTAAGTCGCCATTGTTAAACTTCGTTCCTTTCTCGACAAGCCATTTTCTGAATAAGGGTAAAGTTTTCACTGGTTCCTTTTCGGTGATGACATTCTTCAGGATAAAGTTCTCCGTAGTGATGATTGCAATGAACTTTTGTGCGTTGTTCTTAATAGCTTTCTTAGTACGTGAGTCATGTCTGGCAAATATTGCTCCAGCAGTCTCTGGGTCCTTGAAGTATTCCCAGATGTAATTCTTTGTATCCACATCGAGAGCATGATTCGCAGCAGTCTCGAGTTTGACAATCCACCAGATGATATCACACTTATACTCTAACTTGAACGGAACCCGAACCTCATACTTAGTTCTTTCAGCCGACTCGGTGTCCTCTCTTAAGAGATCTTGAGATACCACCGAAGACTTGTATGCAGGGTCCAGGTATGAAAGAAAGTAGTTCATAGTGTGAGCGTAGTTAAATTATAGTGTTAAAGTATATTAAGAAGAAACGTAGTTCTCTCCGATACTGCCTGTAAAGGGCAAGGAGTGAGTCTTATATAATAAGCCAATTAAAGAGGAACCACGTGGGTTCACTAACGGGAATGATATGACATTGTAGCATATAATGGGACAGCGAGGACCTTGTCTACAGGACATTCAACATGGCAAGATCGGCTGTTCCATTTGGTGGTGTTCCATAATTGATATTTATGTATATAGATATCCATATATTGAAAGTGAAGAGAAGAAGAATTGTTTGTTTGATGATCTTTGTTGTTTTTGACGAGGGGTGGGGGGATAAGTGTGGATGCTGTGCGGCGGCAGCAAGGCTGAGATATGGACATCGGCTATAGTAAGTTCCGACATTTGTGGTTTTGGGTTTTTGGGTGGAGGAGTTTTTTGAATGTAGTCGTGGGTTACTTAAGCAAGCTGAAAAGCCAAATCGATGGAAAAGTTTGTGAATATTCGATGAATTTTGATCTGCACAATTTTTGCATTTTGCAACCATTGCGATGCACCTAAAGAAGGTAGGTATGATGTGGTGAAGTGAAATAGGATCGAGTAGATAATGGACAGTAATGAAAGATGGGTTGTTTTGAAAATCGCCTCTATTCGTCTTTATGATGCTAAGTCCAAGATTGAATGTTGTGCATCTGTACTTTGACGCAAGATAAGCTTCCTCACCTCGAGTTGAGATAGTACCATGTTCTGCATTTTCAGGCACAATTTCGTTTTAAAAAAATTGGTTTAAGAAATTCGAATCAGAAACAAGAAGAAAGAGGGAACAGCATTTTGGAAGATTTCTACTACAAGGGTTTCTGTCCTACCCACTGGTTGCAAATTTGGCACCTAGCTCACATTACACCTAACTCACATAATATGACAAAAGAGCGTTCTGCTCAACATTTTCGTAATATAACGAATTAGCAGGACAGTTTTACCAAAGCATTTCCCTTCTGGAGCCAAAACTACATCGCCATAGAAACACAACCCACTAGTAAAGCACCCAAATATCTTCCTCTTACCAGAAAGGGCAACAGACTTTATCCTGAACTTCAGGCCCTGATCCATCTAGGGAAGGAATAATGGGCGCTTCAAGAGCTAGGAGCCTCATTTACCCAGCATTGCTCTAAGAAATTGAAAAGCAAAGTTAGCAAGTCTAAGCAATACTTGCACCAACGGGAGTCATGGTATTGACCGGTTAGGAAACCCCAAAGATTGGTCATTTGAAAACTTCCTCTTGGTCATTTGAGAAAGCTCCCCATGAATCGAATAAATAAATAGTTTAATGGAGCCCTTCTCCTCCCTCAATCACCAAACCATGACTCCATTCTACCTTATCGACGACCACTGCAACGAAAGCAAATTCCAGAAATGGGTGGCCGACCAAATCGAAAATGACTCTTTAAACTACAGTTCCCACGACACCCACACATACTGGTTGAACGGAAAGAACTGGAAGTTGACCACCATTGAATTGCGTGAACTTCCACTAATTGACGACAATTCTGCAATTGAAAAAGCCAGACAGGCAGAAGGAACCATGGATTTGGGACAAGGCCCGAACTTGGAGGATGGAAAAATCCGGGTCCTTTATTCGACCCTTCGTTTCAAGCAGCTTCTCATGGAACCTTGTCCAGATAAATATGAGAACACCAATGTGTGGGAAATGAAGTGTCTTCATACGGTGGACGAAAGGGTTCCTCTTGAATTCGGCGTAACAAAGCCAAAAGATGGTTATGTGCTTTGGCTGGAACCATATGGTGAAGATACTGAGCCTGTGTTTCTAAAAGTAGCAGCCGAGTACTACACCCCAAATGAGTTCCGCTCTTCAAGTAACGCCAATGTTGTTTCAGCCGGTGCATCGCTATCCACCTTTCTTAATGTTCGATTAAAACAGAGCAATGCCTTTTTGTGCCGTTGCCAGGGAAAAGTTTCAATCACCAACGTGGTTGTCAAATTGCATGAGACCACAAGGTGTATTGTACCACACAATGGAGGTTTTGGGATTCAGGAGGATACTCGATCAGCGACGCTAAAAGACACCAAAATCACAAACTGTTGTTTGGACCATTCGACCTTTACCAATAAGGGAGCCTCGTTTTTCAAGTACATGGATTTGGACCACTACAACTGCAACCTTCCAAACCTCGGACCAACGTTTCATTCGCAAAACTGCTCCAGAACATATACTCTCGAGATTCAGGTCACATTCAGATGCAATTCTGAAAAACGCTGCTCGCTGACTTCTGCACTGAAAATCGATCTTGATGTTGCACTCAAGGACCACAATACCGACTTGAAAGCGCTAGAACAGGTTCAAAAAAGGCAGGACTACCTTTCAGTGAAAGTTTTAAAATTATCCTCAAACATCATGAATGACGTTGCAGGCATCATGGCAAGGCAGCTTCAAAGCATGGAATCCTGGTGCTTGGGGTACCATGCATGCACCATAGCCATGGGAGAATATGCTCTAGTCGTTACTACAATTTTTCTTCCGGATAAACTCAAAAAGCAACTTTTCAACGGATCCTGGCCCTGCAAGCAAGTGGCATTTTCTAACGAGCCTCGTCTAGTGCTCTCAAATGGCGAATGGAGATTTGAGGGACCAGTCCAAGGAAACATTGACCAGTTGATTCTGTCGCCGTTTTTGGCAATTTCAAGAGTTACCAAGCTCGGTTGTGGAATTTCTATGGGGGCGTACTGGCCGTCATGTACAAGAATTCCGGATGGACGAGCCGTTCCTGGAGAAGATCTCTACAACTTGATCGAGGTCTATATTAACGGAACCAGATTAACTAAATCCATCACTTTGGAGACAATCAAAGTCGATCTTATTCAGCACACAACACAAAGGACTGCCAACGGATCCCAGGCTCAAAAGAAGAAGACCTTCAGTTTATGCAAAAAACACATCAACATTCATAGGGTTTTGCAATGGAAGCTGGAGCTGGACATGTCATTGGGGAAATTCTGGAGACTCGACAACAATTTGCTCAATTGCAAAATCCCCAATGTTCCTCCTTCGTTGCTATCCAGTTCTGTCCATCGAACCTACAGCGTGAAAATCCGTATCCTGTTTTATGGTTTGCGTCCCGACAAATATCACTTGACACGTTATGTGGAGCTTCCTATCAACCAGAAGGAGAAATGATGTCTGGGGTGGAATTTAATTGAGTGGATGAAAGGTGCTTCAGGGTGATACTTGAAGTGAAATAAAATGATAATACAAAATGCCGGGGAGAAGTACCGCATGTAGTTTTTTCTTGATTTGCAGCCTGTTGCAGCTATGAAATAGAGAAGCTATGCTAGAAATTAGAATCCAAACCACTCGTTTGATGAAGGAACGACATGAAGCATGTTTAGATTCCACAAATACAGTATAAGAGCAATACGACCTGTGCCAAAGTAACCGATTCATATTATGTACATCTTCAAACGGCATTTGACAAGGTTACTGAAATATCGCCTTGAACCGGTAATTAATATAACCCGTCTGACTTGTGCCAAAGGGGCACATTATTATTAAATAGTATTTTCCATTTAATCAGATGAATTTAAAAAAAAAAAATTAAAAAGACTTTTTTCTGGAAACCAGTCATAAATTGCTCTCTGGACTCCCGCTTTCTCACCATTCCACAGAATGAGTCTCATCTACCACCTTGGCGAGCTCCAAGACAGCTTCCACGATTTTGTTTCTCTACAAATCCAAAAGGATCCTTCAAACTACGTATCTCACGATTCTCATACGTTTTGGGTGAACGACAAGGCGTGGAAAGCTACCATTGTGCGTTTGAAGAAGCTACCCATATCCACAAAAAAAGACACTTCTGCCATTGAAAAAGCCAGAAAAATCGAAGGAATAGCGGATTTTGGACAGGGTCCGAACTTCAAAGATGGGAGGATCCGCCTTTTATCGTCTATCATTGTTCCAAGGCAACCTCTAGTGATGCCTAATTGTGATTTGGATGCGGAGTGTGAATGGGAAATGCAGTGTTTCCATTGCAAGGACGATAGAGTTCCTCTTGAGTTTGGTGTGACACACAGAGTTGTAAAAAGACAGTATGAATTCGAAAAGAAATCCAGTGATGATCGGGCCGTTAATCTAAAGGTGAGTGCACGCTACAAGACCAAAAAGTTTGTGAAATCTGGTCTCCTCAATGTAGTGTCACCAGGTACCAAAATATCGAAATTTCTCTCTTTCAAGTTGGAACAAACTAGCCCTTTTTTGTGTCGCTGTCAAGGAGAGGTTTCGTTAAACCATATTATCGTCAATTTGAAGGAGACCACAAGGTGTTTAATGCCACTGTCAAAAGGATTTGACGTCCAGGAGGACACCAGAACAACCACTTTGAGAGATACAAAAAACAACGGTGTGCTTGATGTTTCAAAATTCAAATTGGAAGGTGCTTTTTTCACCCGTCTGTTGCCTAAACACATGTACAACTTTAGACTCCCCAATATCGGGCCCACTTTCCATTCCGAGAACTGTTCCCGAACCTATGCTCTCGAGGTGAAAATGGTATTTGAGTGTGATTCAAACAAAAGTTGCCGTTCGGAATATTCCACGCTTATAGATATCGATGTTGCAATTGACGACGTTAATTCGGATCTATTTCCCCCACAACAGGCTGAAAAAGGTCAGGAGTTTTTGTCGTTTCAAACGGCAAAACTATCGCCATCCATCTTGAGTGACGTTGAGAGCTTAATGGCAAGATGGCTTCTTCAAGTGAGTCACGAAAGCATTGGCCATCATGCAAGTGCCACAGCCATAGGCGATTCTGTTCTTGTCACTACTACAGTTTTCATTCCAGACGATTATATTGAAGAAAAGACCTTTTCCGGTTGGCGTCCTGGAACGAAAAACAACGACCCTCCTGAGCTCCTTCTAATACCCTCAAAAGAAGGCTGGAAAATGGAGGGAGAAGGCACTTGTGAAAAAGCTTTCTTTCCATCGGAGTTTCTCGCAGTTTTTGACTATCCTCTTTTTCTGGTCGAGGACGTAACGTACGACCCCACTTTCAATTTGGAACGCCGTCTAATTCCAGGAAGACTAGCTTGTCCTGCGATGTACCTTAGCGAAGTGATTTCCATCAGACTTTGGAAGGATACTGTGTTGCATGAGAACGTTGAGATAGTCCATGTTAATGTCGAGCTTCAAACGCAAGAAGTACACAGAACCGCCGAAGGAAAACAGGTAATGAAGACTCATAAAAGATATATACAAAAGATGAAGTCCGGGTTACGACTTCACATGAAAAGAAAAGGCGGAAAAAGGCAATTAACAATTCCCGATGACTTATTGGATTGCTTAATCCCCATTGTTCCTCCCTCCTTACTCTCGAATACCATGAGTCGAGCTTATTTTGTTTGTGTTGAGGTAAAGGTGAAGAGTTTGGAGCAGAATACCTGCCATGAATTAAGCACTCGATTTGACTTGCCCATTGGAAAACCAAGGGACCTACTTTCCAAGGGCCAACCACCGCCATATCAAGCCATAGAAAGCGAGACCGAAGGGGGCACTAGTTTTGAGTCTGCAGAAGAGTCTCTCTAATTCCATGGACACGATGTTTCTAATTCAGATGTGGAGTTTGAAGAATTGTTTTAACAGCTGTTTTGGCCTCAATGAAGATGAACCCAGAGGCATAATGATATGGGACACATTAGTGGCTTTTTGTCGAGAACCAACAGCATAATTGGAAGTTGTATGGTTTTAATGAGCATTGAATTTTCTATTATTTTTATTTTGTTTGTTAATTTCTGGGTATTCTGGATTCCACAATGGCTTTTGATACCTTCAATATGTGCTTGAACCTTCTTGGTTGATTACCCCGATTTATACCCATTCAATTTATTCCCCTTTTTCCAGCTATACGGTCCAGGGCTCTTTTACAATCTCTTCATTTTTAGCAATTTCAGACAACATTCAAAATTAAGAAAGCCAATGGATTGTTTGTGGGCCTCTCTGCTTGACTTACACAATTTGCAGCCATTCAATGGGCTTCTGCAGCATTGATGATCTTATAATCAAGCACCTCCAAAGACATACTCATATAATCAGATTGATGAATTTTTGTGCTATCTCTCTCAATATAGCTATCATGGGTAGCTTCGTGAGTTTGCAATAAAGCATCGTCAGATATTTCCTCCCAAATCTTTACCCCAAACCCTCAAACCAATAGAATCATTACTCATAGAAAGGAAGCAATCTTCGGGAAGATCGCCGTAAAAAACTGGTCATTGCAATGCAGCTTCTCTTCTTTGCCGAGGCAGACACAATTATTTTTAGGTGACGGTAATCCACCGCTTAAAAGCACCCTCTTCTCCATTTCTCTCACATTGCAAAATGAATACCATCTACTACATTGGCGAAAACACGGGCAACGACTTTGTTGCTCTGGAAATAGAAAAAGATCCGTCGAACTATGTATCCCACGATTCTTACACCACATGGTTGAAAGGCAAGCAGTGGAAAGCCACCATCCTCCGTTTGAGAGATTTGCCCAAAGTCAAAACAGACAATTTATCTGCCATTGAAAACGCCAGAGAAATCGAAGGAATCCAGGATTTTGGACAAGGCCCGAACATGAAAGACGGAAAAATTCGTCTCTTGTCCTCGGTCATCCATCTAAAGCAGCTTCTAATGATTCCCAGTACTAATCGGAAAAGAACGCATGAGTGGGGAGTTCAATGTTTCCAGTCCATGGACAACAGGGTTCCTCTTGCGTGTGGCGTGACACATAATGTCGAGAAGAGAGATTTCGAGTTTAACAATGAAGGTGCCGTTTATCTAAAGATGATTGCATCGTACCAAACGAGCCGCTTTTTTAAATCAGGACTCCTCAACGTCGTGTCTCCAGGAGCCAAACTTTCTGAATTTTTCGAAATCCGATTGAACCTAACCAAAACTTATTTCTGTCGCTGCCAAGCCAGAGTTTCACTTAAGCGAGTAGTGTTTAATTTGAAAGAAACCACCAGGTGCATCGTACCGCAATTGAAAGGCTTTGGAATCCAGGAGGACACACGAACAAGCACTCTAAGAGATGTAGAGTTGAACAATCTTCTCGAACTGTCCGCTTTTACACACAAAGGCACCGTCTTTGTCGCTAATTTGGAAAAATCCATATACGACTGTAACCTTCCCAACATTGGACCCACGTTCCATTCAGAGACTTGCTCCAGAAGCTACGCTCTCGAGATTAAAATAACTTGTGAATGTGATTCAAAAAACAGCTGTCGTTCAGAATTTTCCACGCTTATAGATGTCGATGTTGCAATCAACGATAGCACATCGGACATGCAGCCACAAGACCAAGTCCTCAAGAAACAGGATGTTTTGTCACTTGAAAAAGTGGATTTATCGCCGTTCATAGTGAAGGATGTTGAAGCTATAATGGCAAAACGGCTTAAACAGGTGCATTCCCACAGCTTCGGTTATCATGTGAGTGCCACTGCTATGGATGATTCTGTCATGGTGATAAGCAGTGTTTATCTTCAAGCTGACTTTTTGGAGGAAAAGAGGTCTTTTTTTGGCTCGAGCTCGGAAAGTGAAAGGCGTGAAGTAAAGGAGAATCTGGCGCTTCTGCTCGTTCCTTCTGAAACAGCTTGGATAGTCGAGGACGCTAGTCTGGGGAATACTAGCAAAGAAAAGTTCCATTTCTCCGTATTTTCATCAGCACTTGAGGCTCCCTGTTTCACGAAAATGTACTTCCTGGGAGATTCGAGTTTCACCTTCAATCATTGCAAATTCCATGAAAATCCAGTATCTCCCGGGACGCTTCTCGACGAGATAGCCTCTCTCGAACTTTACCAAAGAACCCTGTTGACCGACACCATCTCCATAACATGGTTAACGGTTGAGTTTTTACAACAAACAACTACAAGAACTGCCGACGGGTTTCAGGAAGTGAGTAGGGAACACACCAGGCTCAAACTGTGGCAACCCGATCAACGATTCCAAATGGGTCCACATAATGACAAGTGGCGGTTTTTGAACCTTTCCCGCTACTTTCGCCGCTGCAGAATCCCCGAAGTTCCTCCTTCGGTTCTCTCGAATACCGTTCATCGAACGTATAGTTTGTGCGTTAGTATTATAGTGCACCAAAAGCAAGAAGAGACTGATCACTATTTGTCGACTAATTTTAGCATTCCCGTTGGAAGGAAAGTGGATCTTGTTGGAAGCCCGCCGCCGGCGTATATAGATAGCCGAGGAGCTAGGGGTTCTGGAAAAGGAGGGTGACTGGAGGATTTGATGTAGTTTTGGATTCAGGAAGCCACCAGGTGATGCGTTCTGGATATGAAGAGGCAGTGTACCAATTGCAGTAAGGTTTATTTTTGGCAATTTTTGAAAAAGAGGTTGAATGAGTGCCCTGGTTGTAGGCAAATGACGTAAGAAACATGGGGTTATAGTGTTGAGAACTTTTCAGCTTCCTACCCACGAGAAGCATAACTTTATGTCATTTCTTCCCCTTTGATACCTCAGTCAACCCGGATGCCGGTTTTCGGATTTCTTAACGATAGTCGTAAACGATAGTCGTATACGTAAGTGAAGTATGTATGTGAAGATAGAAGGACGATTGTCCAATTTGCAGCCACTAGACTTTTCTTTCACACCCTGTCAATCTCAAGCGTGCCACCACCTTCGAATCACGAGAACGCCATATCTCCATAAAACGCATAGAACCGGCTTTTCACAAACTACACAAGATTGGTCTAGGTACCTGGAAGCCGATAAGCGTATCACCGAACCAGCACCCCATAGATGTCAATTACGTAAGCACAGAAGCCAAAAACCCCAAACGAGCCCGAGGCCGCTTCTCCATCTTTTTTTAAAATCTAACCTTAATTGGATATTTGGAACTGAATTGAGGCTCTGGATAGGGGACCCACTTTAAGGTTCTGGTGCCCCGCTGCCCCCACCATCGATGACGTCACAGCGGCATCGATAACACCACCAACAGACACGACAAACGACAGAAGAAAAAAGGCAAGGCGGGCCGTCGGAACGGGCGATTCCGAAAAAAGGTCAGGGTCCCGACGACGAAAAAGAAAGAAAAAAAGAAAACTTCCAAAACCACAAAACCTTAAAGGTTCACCATCCTCGGCTCATCTCAATCCATTCTTCAAATCTCCAGGCTCCAAATCTCCAGGCTCCAAATCTTCAATTTCCAAAAAGCACCCCTCGCAACTTTCCACACTTTTTCCACGCCCAGGGCACAAAAACACAGCTTTGTTCGTCGAGCGCCGAATGCCCGAAACAATGCTCCATTAATTAATTGCTACGCCCAGATGCACGGCGGGTCCAGACCAAAACAGCCGTGTTGCCACGGGCGGGAGGCGGTTTTGTGGGAATGGCGATACGAGAAATCAGGTGAAAGGGGAAAATTTCAAAAGATTAATTAAAAAAAGGTTTTCTGTGATTCAGCCGTTTTGTGGAATTGATAGCTGAGCAAGTCGCCGAGAGTCGCGCCGAGCGAAGAAAAAGCAAGCTGACATTGACAGGCCAAGCCAAGGCGAAGACGTCAATCGACAATGTTCAAGGCGAAGTAGTCAAGACGAAGAAGTCAAGACGTTGATTTTTTGACTTTTCGAAATATTCAAATTTCCTTGACGAAATTCGTTGATTTGCTGTCTCTGCTTAATCGTCACTGGCCCCCCACTGGCTGCGAAAACGCAATCGAGCCACAATATGGCCACCGTTGGCGCAAGATGAGATGCTTTTTTGGACGCTCTGCGTAGCAAGCACCAACGGCGAAACAAGACCGGCGTTTTTGGCGAACTCGACAAGAAAAAAAAAAGAAAGCTGCAGTGTGGCAGGAAATTCTCCAGGAATGTGATTGCAGCAAAGCTCCAGCCGCAGTCTGTATTCCAGAAGGCTGCCACTGCCTCATGGACGGACTTTCAACTTTCGAATCTCCACATTTCCAAACACCAATCACCAAAACCCATCAAAATAAAAATAATCAAATTCTCCAAAACCTCAAAACTTCGGAATTTCCCAAACTGTAATTCTCCAGAATACTAATATTCATCAAAACGGTTCGGCACCCGCCCCACTGTCCAGGCACAGAAGAGGTGCAGACCATGCAGCAGATATAAAGAGAGCCATTCCCACCTCAAAAAATCGCCATGCTGCTGCTGCTCGATAAAAAAGAAGAAGACTGGGAAAGGCTCTCCGAGGAGGAGGCACCGGTCATCAACTACCAGAACTGCCTGTGGCAGAAAACAGCAGGCTTGCTTTTTTCAGAGTACATCTGCCTTGCCATCATGTCGTTTCCATGGAGTTACTCGGTGTTGGGTCTTGTTCCTGGTTTGATCATCACCGCTGGCATTTCCCTTATTTGCCTTTACACCGGTTGCATCATCACAGACTACTGCATCACGTACCCGGGAATCACGTCTGTGTGTGACGTGGGTCAGCATATCTTCTGGAACTCCAGAACAGTGTGGTACCTTACCGCCGTGGCGTTCATTTTGAACAACACCTTGATTCTGGCGCTCCACGTGCTTGTCGGTGCCAAGTACTTCAGCACCATCTCCGACAATTACGCCGGCCAGAGCGGCACCATCTGCCAGATTGTGTTTGCCGTGGTGAGTGCGGTCATCTGCTTCTTGTTTTCGCTTCCACGGACGTTTTCGTCCATGCTGGGCGTGGCGTACGTCTCCGCCATCACCATGTTTGTGTCGGTGGTGCTCTCCATGGCTTTTGCCGGCGTCCAGGAGCATCCAGCCGGTTTTGACGGCACCCCAGTGGAATGGAACCTCTGGCCCGCCAAGGGCACCACCTACGTCCAGGGCATGTCCGCCATGTTGAACATTGTGTACACTTTTGTGGGCCAGATCACGTACCCTTCGTTTATCTCGCAGATGAAGCAGCCCAGGGACTTTAAGAAGGCCTTGTGGGTGGTGACGGCGTGCGAGTTGGTGACGTTTGCGCTTGCCGGTCTGATTGTCTACGTTTACGTCGGCAACAAGTACATGACGTCGCCTGCGTTCGGCTCGCTTGTGGGCAATTACAAGAAAATCGCCTACTCGTTTGCGCTCCCCACCATTCTCTTCTTGGGCTCCTTGTACTCGAACGTCACCTCCCAGTGGCTCTTCCTTATTATCTTCAAGGAGGGCGACAAGAACAGAGAGGACCACACCGTGCTCGGCTGGTCGGTGTGGATCGGCCTCAACGGCTTGATCTGGGTTGTGGCTTTTATCATTGCCGAAGTCATTCCGTTCTTTTCCGACTTGCTTTCGCTTATGTCTTCGCTTTTCGACTGCTGGTTCGGCTTTGTCTTTTGGGGCGTGGCGTACTTCCGTCTTAAAAACCACCACAATCCTGGCGTGAGCTTTGTCGAGCTCTTCAAGACGTCGGTGTGGTGGGTCAAGCTCGAGTTCATTGCCAACGTCATTTTGATCTTCATGGGTCTTTACATTCTCGGCCCGGGTCTTTATGCCACCATCAAGAGTATTGTCTTGTCGTACCAGTCGGGGTTGTACGGCCTGGTGTTTGAGTGCACCCCCAGCACAGTCTAGATATGTATATTAGAGGCGGATTGCGCCGTATTAGAAGGATTCTTTGTGAGCGGGCCGGTCCCGCCTTGTAATAATAGGTTATGCAGTGGAGCGGTGTAGGAGCAACAGATTTTGTGAATTGTCATCAAAGGGTTTCGAGTCGATGGAAGTATATGTTACTTGCACTAACACAAGGCAAGCAAATTGTCACCAATGTCATGGGAACTTGAAATTCCCAGATTCTGTAAATAGTCTTCAGATTTCCAGGGTACGTTAAGGGATAATCTTTAGATTCCCAGAATATGTTGAAGGGAAAGTTTTCAGATTCCAAGAATAGGTAGGTCTTCAGCTTCTCAGAATCTGTTAAAAAGGATAGTCCTCAGATTCCGAAATTCTGTAAAAAAGGATATTCCTCAGATTCCCAGATTTTTTCAAAAGAGGACAGTCTTCAGATACGCAGAGTCAGCTAGAATGGACAGTAGCATGGTCCTCGTTCTTATCAACGCCTGCTGCTTTTGACCATCGTACCTCAGCCTATGAACATCCCACATGCACTTACAGAACCAACCCCAATTTAAGGAATTGGGCTGTATTATAGTGAACTAGCGAATTCTGTTCTCATCCCTTTTTCTCTCTCCCTCTCTCTAATCAGCTCCATCGAAGGTCAACGTAACAGGCCCGTCGTTGACCAACTCCACGTCCATCATGGCGCCAAAAACACCGTCCTTGACGCGCTCCTTGCCCAAAAGGTCCCGACACGTCTCCACAAAACGGTCATACGTGGCCCTGGCCTCGTCTGCTTTCGCCGAAAGGTGCAAATCAGGCCTGGTGCCCTTTCTCATGTCGCCGTAGAGCGTAAACTGGGACACGAGGAGCAATTCGTGGTCCGTGAGCTGGCGGAGACTGCGGGCCCACATCTTGCCGTTTTCGTCGTCGAAAATACGGAGATTCTCGATCTTCAGCGAGAACTTCTTGAACTCGTCCCACACATCGCCTTTCTTGACGGCGACGAAAACCACCAAGCCTTTGCCGATCGAGGATACCACTTCACCGTCGACCGTCACAGAGGCTCTTTTGACGCGCTGGATGACCGCTCTCATGGGATATGTGGTGTTTTTGGAAAAAGAGTGTAGTTGAAGATGGTTTTGATAGCGCGAAATGGAGGGTGGTGAAGTAGGGGAGGGGGTCGTTTTGAAGGATTTTGATTTTTGGTTCCAGGGTTATTTTTAGGTGGGTTTTGGGGATGTTTGGTTTTTTAGAGATTTACGGCTCTGGTGGTGGAATTGTATGGACCTTCTGTGGTACTAATGGCTGCGAAATTCCAGTATAGATAGTGAGGAAGGCATCTCTACTGATTTATATATTTATCATAAAACAGAGAACTTTTTGAATTGGCTTTTTTTGTTCAAGCGGAAATGCATGGTTTTATAAGCATTATAGGGAATTATTTCTCTTTGTATGCCACTGCTTTGCATTACGGTAGGTACCTTATCTATACTGTGGAGTGAAAAAGTCAGTACTGATGAGTGAAAAACTCAGTAGGTGAAAATCTCATAAACCACCTCCTGGTAATAATACACACCTCAATTACTTAGGCTGCTTTTTCAATAATGATGGGG